CCCCCCTCCTCTCTGGCCAGCAGGCAGCAGGGGGCGGTTTGAGAGCATCAGCAAAGGATGCGATAGAGCCGGTCCCTCCAGCCGATATGGAGATGGGGATTTACAGCCCCTACTTCATCGTACCCAAGAAATGCGGTGAGTTAAGACCAATCTTGGACCTGCGTGTCTTGAATCGGGCCCTTCACCGGTTACCGTTCAAGATGTTGACGCAGGAACGCATCTTCAGGTGCATCCGTCCCCGAGATTGGTTTGCAGCGATTGACCTAAAGGACGCGTGTCTTCACGCAAGTTGCGGAGGCAGCCCTTGTTCCCCTGAGAGAACAGGGCGTTCGCAAGAGGCCTCGGGACGGGCGACCCAGAGAGAGAGGGAACTGCTCTTTGGGGGATGGTGAATGCACCTCTCCCTCCCCCGGAGGAGGGCCTGGGTGGAGAATCTGGTTTCCAAAAATCTCGACAGGAGAGCGGTTTTCTCTGTCTCTGGGTCCCAAGAGGGCATGGAGAGTCGCGGACGGACCAACACTGGACCACACTCACCCTCCTCTCTTGCCAGCAGGCAGCAGTGGGCGGTTTGAGAGCATCAGCAAAGGATGCGATAGAGCCGGTCCCTCCAGCCGATATGGAGATGGGGATTTACAGCCCCTACTTCATCGTACCCAAGAAATGCGGTGAGTTAAGACCAATCTTGGACCTGCGTGTCTTGAATCGGGCCCTTCACCGGTTACCGTTCAAGATGTTGACGCAGGAACGCATCTTCAGGTGCATCCGTCCCCGAGATTGGTTTGCAGCGATTGACCTAAAGGACGCGTGTCTTCACGCAAGTTGCGGAGGCAGCCCTTGTTCCCCTGAGAGAACAGGGCGTTCGCATTCTCAACTACCTTGACGACTGGCTCATACTAGCTCAGTCTCAGGATCAGTGGTGTGCACACAGGGACTTGGTGCTTTCGCACCTCAGCCGGTTGGGCCTTCGGGTCAACTGGGAAAAGAGCAAACTCTCCTTGGTCTCTTTTCTCTGTATGGAGTTGGAATCGGTCGAGCACGCCTCATGCAAGGACGTGCTCAGTCGGTGTTGAACTGCCTGAATATGTTCAAGGGCAGGACGGCGGTCCCACTGAAACAGTTTCAGAG